CTGCTTCCTCCCCTGCCTTTCACAGGTTCATTGATCCCAAATGTGCATCCCAAACTCTGGCCTCTGCTTCTGGAAAACCCCAACTGCAACAGGTGCCCTAAAATGCTGTTGCTTTTTCCACTAAATTAAGAAGACAAATTAAGACAAATTATACACTACAAAAATACATTGTCTCAAAAGAAAGTGCAGAGGAACACAGGCTGTTTCAACTAATGAAAATCTTGTTTTGGAGATCTGTTTCTCAGTTATTTGGAGTGGGGGTGAATTTTTCCAAGATGCCCACTGCTTTGAAGAAAGAATTACATTCTGTATTGGTTTTCTAGGCTTTCTGTAATGAAGTAACACAAACTGGGTGGCTTAAAACAACAGATTTATTCTCAGTTTGAAGGCTAGAGTTGAAATCAAAGTGTTGCCAGGACATGCTCCCTCTCCTCGCTTCTGTGGGTGCTGGCAATCCTCAGTGGCACTTCTTGGCATGTGGCATGGCACCAGTCTCTGCCTCAGGCTTCACATGGCATTCTCCTCTGGATGTGTCCGGGTCTGTATTCTACTTCGTATTGGATTAAGCGTCCACCCAACTCCAGTATGACCTCACCTGAATTTACATCTGTAAAGACCCTATTTCCAAACAAGGTCATTGTCACAGAAAACAGGGGCTAGGACTTCAATTATCTCTTGTGAGGACTGTAAAGGAAAAACTCCTGTATGCTTCTCCTCTACTCTCAATACTTCTGACCACCAAATGTGGAGGGAGGGAACACCAGGCAATTCTGCAACCCCAGCTGGGTGTCCTACCATTCAAGTCAGTCCTGACCCTTCAGATGTCAATGTCAAGCCCAGGTTCTTACCTGTGCTTCTGACCGGCTGGCTACAAATCAGAGGTTCTCATGACCCTTTCTTTGGATTCAGTTAGTTTGCTAGAATGCCTCATTTAACTCAGAGAAACGTTTTACTTACTAGATTATTGGTTTACTATAAAGGACATAAGTCAGACATAGCCAGATAGAAGAGGTGCACAGGGTGAGGTTTGTGGGAGCAGTGTGGAGCTTCCTGCCCGTCCAGGCCTGCCACTCTCCTTCCACATATTCACCAACCCTGAAGCTCCCTGAATCTTATCCTTCTGAGTTTTTATGGGAGCTTCATTACATAGATATGGTTGATTAAATCATTGGCACCAGTGATTGCAGTCCCCAGCCTCTTCTCTCCCCAGAGGTCATGGGTGGGTTGAGTTAGGGGTGGTGGCTGACGTTTCCAACCCTTGGCAACCAGCCTCCATCCTTAGGGACTTTCAAAAAGCCTCCTCATTAACATACACTCAGGTGTGTTGGGAAGGTGCTCCTTTATGAATTGTCAAAGACACCTTTAGTGTTCTAACCATTTGGGAAATTCCAAGGGTTTTAGGAGCAATGTGTTAGAACAGGGACACAGACCAAATATAATATTTCTTATTATAAATCACAATATCAGAGGGGCACAATTCAATCTGTGACAGATTCTGTCCTAGACTAGCTTACTGAAGCCTATGTGAGCCCAGTAATGCCAGATGATAGCCAGGACACTGAAAATAATACTTACTGGAACTATTCCCACCATCACCACCCAACTTGCTTGATTCCTATAGATTCCCACCTATAGAAGGAGGTGGCTAAAATCGGTGGCATGTTTGGGTCTTTAGATAAGAGAGGTGGAGGGAGTGAGGGAATTTGAGGTCTGAGAACAGGTCTTGCGACCCCTGGAGAGGAAGGAGGCTGTACTGCAGAGGAGAGGGCAGATGTTGCTGAGACACAGCACATGTAGTCCAGGCTTCCTGCACACAAAATCATACCATGCCCCTGGGTGAGCCTTGTTAGCCAGGGCTTTGACTGAAGTGCAGGCCCAGAGTGGAGGGACACTGTGGTGGGGGATCCCGTGGTCCAAGGGAACACCTCCATTGTGCTGGTGGCCACAGCTCCAGGAGCAGATTTGGAGAGGAGTGTTGGGGGTGGCAGAAGATGGGGTGAAGGTGGGGGAGCAGCCATGCAGCCAAAGGCTGGCACATCTGGATAGCTACATTCATACAAAATATAAATATAGGCCAATTTAATAAAAAAATAAGTTCCTTGAACCAAAAAAGGTCTCTGCCAGTATGTGATAAAATTAAGCATTTGTTAAGAGGTTTTAAAGTACATCACTGTTACAAAGCTGGGGTTTTGTCCAAGCTGGAATATTTCCTGATAAAATAGTCTAGATATACAAGCAATTAAGAGGGTGCTCTCAGTAGTCCAGACAAATGTGCTGATTCCCACATTGTACATGGAATTTTATAGCTAATTTGTGGATAGAAAATAGCTTCAAATGTCTGTAGAAACTTGTCCCTTTCTTCAGAAAGAGCTGTGGCTAATTAGAATTTCCATTTGGTTGCTGCCTGACCTCTCAAAGGGCCTGTGAACTATTAGGTGGTGTTCAAGCAATTTGTTTGGGATATGAGTCATTTTGCATCTACTTTGCATGAAAAAACATCAAACATGGTGTGGAAATATATTCATGTTATTAGGCAATTTAATACAATGGCACTGGTTTCCTTAGCCACCAATGGCTCTATGTAAAACAAAACTCTTGCCTCCTATTTAGTATTTTGGGATAATTAGTGATGCATTATTAATACAGTTGGGATGTTGTTTTTAAACTTGGTTAAATTAGGAAAGGAAGCAGTTAGTCATGCAGGTGAAATTTAACAAAAATATATGTAGAACTAAAATGTAAATACTTGGCATAATTTAAAGAGTTGACCATGAATCTACATCTGAATGTTTTCACCTGAAATGTACAACATAACCAGTCAATATATGTATATGTATATAATATATATATATATATATATATATATATATATTTTATAGAACAGCCTCCTTTTCCTGCTCTTTTAACATTTGTGAGAGTTAACGAAATTCCATCTAAGTTTCAAACAAAAAAGTAGGTGTAAGAAGTAGTCAAAATTTAATTGGGGCAAAAGTTCTAGTCAGATTCAACCAAATGTTTAAATGGAATGGCTCCTTAATTATCTATACAGTGACACAAAGAAGCTGTGGTTAGTTAGAATATATAGCATATATTATACCTCTTATGAGTGTTAGCAAAGAGGTAATACATTTAAATGGATCTATAAATTTCCTTCCCTAAGGGACTAAATTGGATCACAAGGTATAAAGATAGGTGAGGATAAACTTCCATGCCATTAAAATTATGGAAAATTTTGGAAAAATCATGGTATTTAAAAAATTACTTAAAAATTATTTCCAGCATTATAGAAAATGAGTTTTGTGATAACACAGGAGTAATTCTGGGCCTTCTGCAAATTACCAAAACTTGTCCTGATTGACATTTTTTTGACTTACCAACCAATTTAAAGGGCATTTAGAAGGGAGGAAGGTGAATTGAAAGTTAGAATTAATTCAGGAATCCTGCCGGAATTTGGGGTTGGAGTTGTGACAGTTTCTGTGAACTTTATCTGAATGAATGTTAAATGTAGTTTGACACTTAAGTTTGTGTCCGAAACTGGGGAGACCTGGGGTTATTACTAACTTTTTATAAACAGTGAAATTGACATGGAACTGCATGGGCCACATTTTCCCTTGACTGACTGAGAAAAATGGATGGCAACTCTGAGTAAGAGACACAAGCAATCTGGGGATGTTGGGGGTGGGCAGGGCAGGCCCCGTGGGGCTGAGCTGAAGAAAACACTCCAAAGCATGGCTCCTACAATTTTGGAAAATAGAAGGTGCTGCAGTGATAGCTCGTCTTGTGGGGTCCCGTATGTCCCGGGAATGCTGCCGCTTTGAGGACCTGAACTCCAAGCCGGCCTGGCTTCTTAAGGCTTAGGCCTGTAACTGCAGTGGTGTGCTTCCACCGTGTCTTATTGGTAAAAGCCAGAGACATTGTGCCCTTTTAGAATCAAGGGGAGGAGACTCCCCAAATAGTGAATACCAAGGGGAAGTTCACTGGAGGCTACAACTCTAACAGTGCCATGCTCACTGGGACTCACGGTTCACTTCTGAGCTGTTTGCTGGACCACCTGCCTTCCTCAGCTGACATTCTCACAGAGAACTTGATATGAATAGTGTGACTAGCCAGAGCCTTCATCAGCTCTGGGTTAGTGTAGGGCAAGTTTATCCCTATTATTCTTCTGTGAAGGATACTGAGGATGGTGGAGCCCTGTGAAGGTTGCCGGAAGGTTTGCAACCGGTTGGGAGGCCTGGGTGTTGAGGCAAGACACGACATGACTTTCATGCAACATTTCTTGGGGAGAGGGTACAGAAGCTGGGGTCAGCGCAGGAGTCAGAGATAGCCAAAGCGCAGCCCCTGGCTTTAAGGAGGGGACCCTGCCCACCGTGGAGCTCCCCCAGCCCCGCCCCGAGTTTTGTCTGAAAGTTTAAACAATTATCAGCCAATGTCCTTTGTCACTGTCTACTGCAGCTCTAACCACTGTATTGGCTTAATTTCCCTGTCAGCTTTCCTCGTTGGGCTGTGGGCGAGGCCCAGTTACCCTTCCAAATGTACAGATAGCAAGGGGCGCATTGGCCCGCGGGGTGGTCCAGCTGGGACTCCTGCAGACCCATCCAGACCCCTCCACTTCTGAGCAGCTGCAAACGCCAGCTTCCATATCCCCTTGGCTGCCCTCTCCCCTCCTTGTTCTTTTTATTTCTGGCAAGAATTGGGGTCCCCTTCCCTCATCTCCTTCCCCCAAACACAAACTCCCCTTTAAGAGAACTTGGCGCTGCCCCCGGTCCGGGGACAGCCACCTGGCCTCGTTCTCCTTCTCGCGACCTCCTCCCCATCACTGTGGGCACTATCTGGGCATTTGGACTTCGGGGTCGTCCTCTCTTTCTCTGGCCGCCCCTCCCGGGGTCACCGCCAAGCCCCGCATCCCCCCCCGCCCCCCTCCCCCGGGCTCTGTCTCTTTAAGCCGGTGCCGCCACCTCGCCCCTCCTCCCCACGCCGGGCGCGGGGCTGCTCCCGCCGCCCTCCCCACTCATCCTCTGCGCTGCTGCTCGTCCTCCCCGCTCCTCCTCTGCGCTGCTGCTCTTCCACTCCCGCTCCTGCTCGCCGCCGCTCTGCTCCCCGCAGCTTCCCGGCCGCGCAGCCATGGCCGACATGAAGACGGGCATCTTCGCTAAGAACGTTCAGAAGCGACTCAACCGCGCGCAGGAGAAGGTCAGAAGCGGGAGGCGAACGGGCGGCGGCGAGGGCCTGGCCGGCTGGGGTGGGGGGGGCGGAGGAGGCAGGGCTGGGGGCGCGGGGACGCCTGCCCTCCGCCGCGGCCACTGCAGCTAGGCGCAGGCGGGGAGCAGGGAGCGCAGGACGCGCAGCCCTGCCCGCGGAGGAGCGGGGAGTGCACGCCACGCGGTGGTTGTCCTGCGCGCCCGCCAGGGCGGGAGCCTGGATCTCAGAGGCAGGTGCGGCGGGTCGGCAGCGGCCGCCCGGGCGGAGCACATCCCTCCCGTCCTCGCTCCGGGTTCGCCCGCGGGCAGCTGGTAGCGACGCGGCCCGCAGGTCCGGGCGCTAGCTGGCTGCAGCTGCTCTCCCCCCGGGGGCTTTCCTGGGTACTTGCGCGCACTAGACACCACCGATTGGGACAGAAGCTCCCCGAAATCTCTGCTTGACTCAAGACGGCTGATGGCGAAAAACCAGCGTCTTTAATGCAGCGCTGCGGAGTGAATCTTGGAGTTCGAAAGAGAGGGCTAGATCCGCACTTTTTTTTCTTTTTTTCTGGAGGGTTGGGGTGGGGTGGTCTGTGTGTGTGAGCCCCTTTTGACGCCAGTGCCCTTCTCTGGAAGGTCAAAAAATTTATGACCTGATCCTAACAGTTCTTTGCGCATTCCTGCACAAAGGAGGACGTTTTATTGCATTAAAAAAATCTATATTGCATGGTTTGGGTTCTTTGGTGTTTTACAAGCCCCTTAGTAAATTGCCCACATTAATTAAATTTTCTCCCCTGTTAGATGGGCACAATTGCATCCCAAGTCTATACCAAGCACACAGCCCTGAGCAGTCGGAGAGGTCTTGTACCAGACATTGGGCTTGGCTGGCTTCCCTAACGACTGCTTGCCAGCACGAGGTTTTCATTGGTGTCCTGAGCAAAGGACATTCATTTTGTAGCTTAAGCACTTGAAAGTGGACACTGACTAACGAGCCCTTTGGTTTGTATCAGTTGAACGGTGTTCTCTTTCACGTGGCAGTATTTTCCATCCCTGGAATTCTGGCTGTTCAGCGTTTTCCTGTTTCACTGGAAGTCAAGTTTGCCGCGTTGCTCACTACCAGTGTTTTTCCCTCTTCATCCAGGCTCCGGCTGCCTCCCAGTTCCCACTGACCCCTAGGAGCTGAGTAGAAGGGGGCTCTGATCCCTTTTCTTGTCCGCGAGCCCGGAGGCTCAGTGGCTGCCTGCCGTCTCTCCTTCTACACATGCACACTCCCAGTGCAGTAAGAGGATTGTATTTCTTTTAATAACTACCCAAGCTCCTCCTGAACTAACCTGATCCTGCTACTGCCACTTCTTGGGCAGCTGAAGTAGCAAGGCTTCCTGCCCCTTTCTAGTGCCTGGTGACTTGTCCAGAAGGTAACCAGGATCTGCTGGGATCCCTGCCACATTTCGTGATTGTTCTTCCATACTTCATTTTACCCACCTGTAGATATTCCAACCCCCCTCGCCCCTTTCCAAGTAATTACTTGAATCTTTTGTCTGAGGCTGTTCATTGAATTTACTTTCCATCTGTGAAGGAATTTAGTGATATAGGCTGCCTTTCCACATATTAAATTATTTCTTAATCTAGGTCACCAGCTGTTAATATGCCAAAAATAAATGAAAGGAATATGTAATCTGACAGAGCATTCAAACCCTTATGAATTGTTGAAAACTCACTTTTTCATTTTTAAGGTCAAGTGTTACTGTGATTGTGGTTGTGGATGGTGGTCACTCTTCTACGGGAGTGGAGCAAGGCTTCTAAGGAAGCCTTAGAGTGGGGCCTCAAGCGTCTTGTTTGCTTCCCTGGGGAAAGCTGCTGGTAAAAAGTGCCTGTTGTACCTGGTGTAAGGGCTTTAGACACCAAGAGGCTGAGAGTATGGGTTCTGCCCCTGGGTAAATTCTGCCCCCTTTCTGAGCCTGTGTAGCACAAGGGAAAAGAGCATATGTGAATCCAGTTTAGTCCAAAAAGAAGCTTCTGGAGAATGGAAAGCACAGTATGTTGCCATTGCAGGCTTCATTAGATATCCCCCCAGTGATTCCTTCTTGGCATCTTTGGTCTCTTCCTCTTCTCCAATGCACAGATGCTCCACTGTAATGACAGTGTACACATACATTCTTGAGATCTTTTGCTCCTTATTTTTACAACCAGATTTTCTCCAGAGAGAATCCACTCCCTTGAATTTCTCATCATCTGTGCTCCACCTAACAGCTTGCATGTATTTTGGATCCAAATGCATGACTAAAACTGGTCTTTGAGGTGTTGTTATGTTTTTTATGAATTTAAAATACATTTTTTCATGAAGTCTATGACAGTTCATTGGAGAAAGAGTGAAATGTACATATAGGCAAAAACAAACAAAAAACCCCAACCAAACAAAAACCTGCACCAACAAATTATGACACTTATAATTCTACCACCCAGAGATTTCACTATCATTTGATGTGTATCCTGGCGGGTCTTTTTCTATATGTATGTGTGTATACATACATATACAGCAAAATCAGGCTCATACTATAAGTTTTGTAGCCTGTTTATTTTATGATCATTCTTCAATTTGTGTATATATTTTTCATCAACATTTCAAATGACTGAACCGTTTTAAAATGAATGGATTTAAATGAATCCTATATATTTTAGATGTTCAGTTTCCAATGTTTCTGTGTATAAACAAATCAGTGAGTATACTTGTAGGCAAAATGTACATACCCTTTAGTGTTTCCTTAGATGAATTCCTGGAAGAAGAATTATTGTGTCAAGGTATCCTTATTTTTATTATAGCTACATTGCCTTTCAGAAAGGTCGTATCGATTTATATTCTCACCAGCAGTCCATGAGACACTTGCCAGTTCTGGATAGTAACGTCTAAAACAATCTTTAGTTCTGTCATTGGAAACAATTAGTTCCTATTTATTTCATTTGTTTGATATTTAGAAATCAAACATTATATGCATTTGCTTAAATCTTATCAGTTGGCTTTGTATGGTTTCTCTTTTGGGTGTCAAACTAGTCAGGATCCTGCCACTTTTTAAGTATAGACACTCCGTTCAAATTGGTTTAAGGAATAAAGGGAATAAATTATTAAAAATATGGTTCTAGCACATATAAATTCAAATGAGATTTTAATATATAAATGCATATTTGTATTAAACTGTATACTTATAAATTTCTGCATATATGTGTGTGTGTGTTATGTGTATCAATTCACTTGAGTCTATGAAGTAGTTACTATCCTCATTTTATGGATGAGGAAGACGTTAAATGAAATGCCCAAGGTCACATAATTAGTAAGTAGTAAAGCCAAAGTTTGAACTCGGGTGTCCAGTGCTTTCCCATTACATGACAATGGCTCTTACAATGATGAAAAGGGTGGAGTACAAACTTCAGACCTGTGTGGAGCCAGGGTCTCCACCACAACCATCAGGCCCAGTTGCTCCTCCCTGATTGTCACCTCTGTCCGTTTTGTCACCCACATGCATGGGCAGATTCTTGCTTGGTGGCAAAAGGACTGCCTGCAGCTATAGCCAAGAATGTGTCTTTCTCTCAACACTTACAGAGAACTCCTCAGTATAAACTAGCTCTCATGGGCCCCAACTGGGCCATGGGCTTACCCCTGGAAGAAAAAATCTCTCTCTGGCCAAGAATTGAGCTTGAGTCACAAGCTTCTACCAAAGCTGGGATGGAGAACTTGCCCCTGGACCCCTTGGTCTGGGAGTGGAGGAGGGAGAATCAGCACAGGGGAGGAATGGATGCTGTACTGGCAAAATGACAAGTGTCCAGTGAGGTATACTTCAAAGGCCCTCTCGGTCCCATGTTTATATACATAAGCACATATTTAATAACTTATAATTTAATATTTATTTATAAATTCCCTATCAAATTAATATATGTAGTTTAACATATCAAGTATTAGTAAAAGGCTTATGAATAATGGCAGGTCCCTGCTTTTTCCCCCTGTCCTCAGCCACTAGTCTTTTTCTCCAGAGGAATCTGTTATTAACCACAACTTCTCTTAAAAATATGCTTATATAACTACTTATTGATCTGTCCTTTCCTGTTTGGTGAAGATAGGGAAAGATTAAGCTGTCTTAATTCATCCCTCTACTTCTATACCACCCAATCATATATTATAACAAAAGCTGTTGATTGCTGAGGATTGTATTTTTAAAAATTGAAGTGAAGTATTGATTTGAATGAAATATATCAATCTTAAGTATTCAGTTTGGTGATTTTTTTATGTATATGGATATCTGTATAGTTACCACCCAGGTCAAGTTGTAAAAAATTTCTGTGGTACCAGATACCCATCATCCTTCACGCCTCTCTGGTCTTTGCCTATTATGTTCTTACCTTTTTAGTTCTTCCACTGTTACTTCCCTGATGAACATCTTTTCATGTACTTGTTGGTAATTTGATATTTTCTTTTGTGAAGTGTCTCTTAAAATCTTTTGCCTGTGATTTTTATTTAGGTTGCTTCTCACTTTACTATTGATTGTAGTTCTTTTATATTCAGAATATGAGTCCTTTGTCAGATAGACATTTTGCAAATATTTTCTCCAAGAAAGTAACTTGCCTTTTTTACTTTCTTAATGTGCTCTTTGATGAGCTGAAGTTTAACATTTTTATGAAGTCTTATCTGATGATTAATTTTTTCATTTAGCTGTTTGTTTTCTCTGGAGTTAATAATTACCCCCCACCCCACCTTTTGCTGTTTTTAAATCAACTATTCAGAATTATTTGTTCTTGCTTAGAATATTATTATGAAAGGCTCAACATATCAGATAATGTAATTGTAGTGCTTTCTCCAATTGAAGGATCCCTCTGCTCCCCTTCTGGAGCCTCTGTCTTTTTGCTGTAATCTGGGCTGATTTTTCTTTTCTAGGCCTGCTGCACAGCTGTCATCCTGTGCTTTTTCTTGCCACTGCCACTGTTGGGGTCAACAAAGGGACCTGAAGGCTCATCTAGTCTATATTC